AATTTTCGCGTGTATTTAATCTTTTACTTTGTAAAGCAAATTTGTAATATGCATATATTTGAATTTTCTATTAAGATAATGTTAATTTTGATAAAATGTTTTGTTTTTATATTATATTATTTTAGTTTATATTATAATATGCTTTTAACTTTTTTTCTAAATATCATAATTTGAGAATATATCTCGAATTTTATGCTTTTACCGTGTTTTAGTTTACCATTTCTGAATTACGCAGAATTATAGTAGAAAAAATGTAGAGATACATTACAGATAATTTGCTATAAATGAGAACGTATTTTTCTATATAAAAAGCTAAATATATATCTGCATATGAATATAATATTATAATACGATTCCAAAAAATTTGATTACATAGGTACGGGGATGTGAAATATACAGTAAAATCATACATTTTCAAAAAATATGAATTCATCATTAGAAGAATGTGTTCGTTAAATAAACGGATAAGAATTGGATCGCATAGCTCTAATAAGCGTAACTTTCCAAAAAAAAAACCTCCGCTCTGACAAATCAATTTTTGAATCAATCGAAAAATTCGAGAATAGATAACTATGATAGCAATGTGGAACGCTCCTTACATATCGATTCGTAGAAGCAACTGTGCAGAAGAAACACTCATTCCTCGATTCGCGCGCGTTCGAAATTCCATCTATAAAATCCGCGAGTCGCGAACAAATCGTAAACACGTCGGTCGGAGAGAATTCTTATTCCTCTGACAGAATCTAAACGCAGAAATTGGCGGTACGCCAAGAGAGCACGTTGGCTTCGCGATTCCATTGCGTTTCGCGAATAACCCGGCGGGGCTCACGAACACGTCGCAATTATTTGCATTTGTTAATTCACATAATTCACTCTCTTCTACAGGCTCGAGGAATGATATCGTCGCTGTTCGCGTATTCCGCGCGAGTGTTTCACATCTACTTCACCGCCTATTCTCGCCAATCTTCTCCGAGATATACAGGGTGTGCGCCGAGGGTCGCGAATCTTCTCTAGAATACAGATTACTCGAATACCGAATAGTAAATTTTCCTCATTAAAAGTCTTAATATGCATGTATGTATGTATGTATGTACAGAGTATTTCGTGATTAAATGTTCTAACTTAAAATATAAATTTAGGATCCAAAAATAAGTAACAAAATTCCTCTAGATGCTCGCAAAAGAAACTTTCTCATTTTTAAATCCTAAATTCAAGAGATTTTAAATTAGAACATTTAATCCTGAAATATCCTATATAACGTAGATATCGTATCTTTTCACGTTTCTCTTTACTTGTCGCCGTTAAATGTCTCGGCGAGTCTTGAGTAAACTTTAGTGAGCTGTTAACTCGTATACATATAACGTCCGCAAGATTACAAGACTTTATCAGTGACTTTATGAGAACGGAGAAGGGAAAAGGAAGAGAAATAGCCCTGTACTCTATCGACCATTCACTCGGATACTGTCCGTGTTTCTCGACATCAAAACGAATGATACTCTTCCCGATTCCATCTCTGGTATTTCGCAGTCGAGAGAAGATACGCGACGTTCATTTTACCCAGTACATTGTCGCTAGGGGAGATTGGAGAGGATGTTCCACTCGCGCTGAAAACTATCACAGCCAATGTCGATATTAAACTCTCAAATTTATAGCATGCGTGTGCCGGCTATCGATCGGATGCTAGGGACAATCGTCCGCGCCTTTACTGAAAGAGAATATTTCGCTAGAATATTATTAGCAGGAGCTTCTCTTTCATCGGATTGTTAACTGCCCGTATATATATGTATGCATGTGTGTGTGTGTGTGTATCGTTGCAGTATTCACCACCGACTCGAATTTACGGCGCGCCGAGACTGCACTTTGGGCGATTTATACTTTGGCGTTCGAACGACGGCGATATCTGCACGTCGACCGCTTTGAATTATGACAGAGTCAGGATAGAGAATATGTTCGTAGTTTTGTGTTCGTTCATGATATGATTTTTGGTAAATGACGTTATTAACGTCTAATGAAGCGGCCAAATTGTTATTATTTGTTATAGTTTTGTATTGTTATAATTAATTATTTAATTAAATATTTTGTAAAAGATTTATTATCTA